GTGTGTGTGTGTGTGTGTGTGTGCAGGTAAGTCGGGTCCGGAGTGTAAGCACTGTAAAGCGGATCCGGACGCTGAGTGTCGTTTCTGCTCGTGTTGTGTGTGTGGAGGGAAGCAGGACGCTCACATGCAGCTGCTGTGTGACGAGTGTAACATGGCCTTCCACATCTACTGCCTGACCCCGCCGCTGACCTCCATCCCCGAGGACGAGGACTGGTGAGCACGCGCTGGATTAATGCATCACACACACCGTCGCACATGACAGACGCGTGACGTTGTGTCTGTGCAGGTACTGCCCCACCTGTAAGAATGACAGCAGCGAGGTGGTCAAAGCCGGAGAGAAACTCAGAACCAGCAAGAAGAAATCCAAGATGCCGTCAGCGACCACAGAGAGCCAGAGAGACTGGGGCAAGGTACCAAACACACAGAAACGTGTTAATCCTGCTGTGTTAATAAGCACATATGTGACCCTGGACCACAAAACCAGTCTTAAGTGTCAATCTTTCAAAATTGTGTGTGTGTTGGAATGAGTTTTACCGCAATGTTTTTAGTCTGGACTGATTCAGGTGCATTGTATGATTGTATGTTTATAATTTGACATTTTTATAATTTATTACATTTTTAGTAAGTGTTTTGTTTTTATTTTAATTTGTCTTTTTATGATTACAGACTTCTATAATATTTACATTAAGTTAATTATAATAACAGACTAAATCAAACCTTAACATAAAATTTGATTTATTTTATTAATCATTTTGCAATTGTTTTCAATGCATCATCACTTTGAGCTTATTTTATGTGACTTATCAATTAAGAGAATCAATATTGAATTTTTATTTAATATTTTCATATTGTAATAATTTTACAAATGTTGTTTTTATTTTTATTTCAGGTTAGTTTTGATTTATTTTAGTTTTAGTAATTTTAGTACTTATTTTAAATTTGTTGATTTTTGTGATTTGATATTTTTTATTCATTTATTTTGATTAAGATTTTTTTGTTATTTCACATTTTATAATTTAAAATTTTTAATGTTTTTTTATTTTAATGTGACATTTTTGTGATTTAAAAATATATATATATATTTTTTTTTTATAATTTATTACATTTTTAGTAAGTGTTTCATTTACTAAAATTAAAATTAGTTTTAATTTATTTTAGTTTTAGTCATTTTAGTACTTATTTTAAATTTGTTCAGTTTAATTTCCAATCTAGAACTTACATTTTATTTCAGTTTTATTTCAAATAATATAAATGTTTTTAGTTTTCGTTTGTTTTATGCTTTGTGCTCCAAAATATTGCATTCAGAAGATGCAACGAATATGCATTCAAAATCTACAGATTGACACTTTTGATGACATCATTTCAGCTCGTCCAATCAAATGCTCTCTAGAATCTGAAGCGTCCCGCCCACTTCATTATAATCAGTCACTTGTGCTCTCATTTATTATGGACTGTTTCCTCTCTGAATCTAATTGATCTTTCTGACCCCACAGACAGATATTTGCTCCTGTTTGAATCATAAACTCATTTTGATCAGTTTCACAGATAACAAAGCTTCTTATCTGATGTCATTGTGCATCTGCAGTAAATGTGTCTTTATTTAAGGATGTTTAGATGTTTGACCGAAACACTGAGGAAGAGCATGAGTTTGTGCAGTGTAGGTAGTGAGATAGAGACTTATAATAACCTCATTATGGTCTGTGTTTCAGGGTATGGCGTGTGTGGGCCGCACTAAAGAGTGCACAATCGTCCCCTCCAATCACTACGGCCCCGTTCCCGGCGTTCCCGTGGGAACCACCTGGAAGTTCCGTGTTCAGGTGAGGAGATCTGCTCCGGAGCGGCTCAGTGTGAAGGAAAAACTGCTTATAAATCTCTCATTCTGAGCTCATGCACATCAGTTTCTGAGTGTAAAAGCATGATTTATGGATCATTTTGGCAGTTCACTCAAAAACTGATGTGATCAACCAGTTCCAGAAACACAAAACCTGTGCTAGTCGACAGAACACAAGGCTGAATCCAATATTTGGTAATGATAAAGTGTAATAAGAGATTTATAAGCAATTCCGACATCATCAACAACAGAACATCACCATCCTAAAAAAGTAGAAAAATGACCTACATTATCAGAAAGTTTTGGTCCAGTGCAATACCATTAACTAGCATTTTCAGGATAAAGACAGTCGACTCTGGGTTAAATGTGTGTCTGTGTGTGTGT